TGATATGTTTTTGATCTTCTGTTACTTTTCTATTTCTTTTCCATTTATTTTACTCACAATGTTTTTGTTTTTTAAATTGATATGCAATGATTATCAAGAAGGAAAAACAGTATACATAAATGAGGCATGAACCCAATTCTCCAATTCATAAGATTTACTGATAATACATTATTTCTGCTATCTTTTATTGTACCTGATGGCTTGTTTGATAAATATAATTCATTACACTTTCAATATACAGCTTTGTATTTTCTGAACTTTTCATAAACTAATGTTGTTCTTTTTTCTTTTTTTTTAGGTAAGTTCTTAAAAATGGATAGGTTAATAAAACCATTTACTTGGACTTGTTGTTCCTCTCAACAAGGTAAGGAAACAGTTTGCTTTCTAATTTGGAAAGTGGAAAATATAGAGGTATACTTTTTCATTCAAAGTATTTTCATTGTTAATGATTCAAGTGTGTATAGTTCAGCCTTCTTCATATGTCCATTTCTGGCTGATAGGGGCATCTATGAGTTGATTCTTGTATATTATTTTCATAATGCTAAAAAAAACATTCAAAAGAAATATATAATCAGTATGAATTTGTTGCAATAACCAAATATCAAAACCATCTGACATTGGATTTAAAAGGCACCAAAAATACACCATCTTCTGGACAGTGGTATAATGGATACAAGCATTAAAGTGTTGAAGTTAGCAAATGGTTGTAATGTACTGAAATCTGTATACTCTGATTCAACAGGGACAAGCAAAAATTTGCATTGTTGGAACAAAATTGCACAATAATCTGCTGAAGACAGAAGGTCTGAGATTTGTCAGAAAATCATGTAAATTGAAGAAACAAATCCCACAAGAATGCTATTCATTTGATATTTCATATAAATATGAAAAAAATAAACACTTGAAGATAGCTGAATGGCACATCATCAAAATATTGTCTATAATAACTCCTCTAACAACCAAAATTTGAACAGTTGTTTCAATGAATCCGTAACCATTACTAATCTCAAAAATCAAAAAATCTTATAGATTGTAAAATCAAAACCATTACCTAAGTGCTGCTGAATTTCCTTATTAATGTAATATTGTATTGAAATTTATTGTGAATTACAGAGTGCAATTGAGAATTTGTCATACAAATTAAGCAAAAATGAAAATAACACTGACATCTCATTTTAACAGATATATTTACCAAAATTCCACAAAATTATCTTGAAATACTAAAGAGTAAATTTGTTTAATAAAATCAGCATTGGCTTCAACCACACCTTCCAGACGACTTCTGAATCTCCTGCATCTCTTCTGGACAGTCTCCTTGTTTAAGTTGATGAATGCTGCCATAATCCTTGCCTTCAGTTCATCCTTGATGTGACAAGGAGTTTTGTTGGTCTCTCACTCAACTGCACCCCACACATAATAATCAAGGAGGTTGCAGTCTGGGAAGTTAGGCCAAATGTAAGGGGTGATATGGTTGCAGAAATTGTCTGACAGCCATGACTGGGTCCTCCTGCTTGTGTGGCATGGTGCAGAGTCCTGTTGCCAGACATGGGGTCTTCCAGTAGCCACCCTCTTTATCCAGGGCAGCACTACCTCCTCAAGGCATTTGATATAGGCCTTCACCTACAAATTTAGGATTCGATTCTTATCAGAGTGAGTTTTCCAAGCTGCCGCACCTTCATAATCACCATTAGACTTATACATTTCTTTCTTCATTCTTTGCACTGTCCTCAGATTTGACACTCAAACACTCTCCAGTGTTCATATTGTAGCTTCTGGTGTGAATGCCAAGCAGTACAGCATGCCATTTTGAAATTTCTAGTGGAGTGAATTGTGTCTTGAAGCTCTTTTTCTCTCAGACAGTGCCCAACTGACCCTACTATATTGTGCAGTTGACAAAATCAAAAACAAACAACATGCATGCACAAAATTAAAAATATAAAAAAAGCAATAATTTACCCATTGCATCCTGTATATGAAACTGTAAAGTTTTCTTACACAATACTGAAGTTTTCTGTGATAAACAGCAAATGACAAAAATGCACTTTTGCCAATAACTCAGTTTCTAAATGTGCTTTTAATTATAAATACTGTTTTTTTGGTGTTTTTTTTTTTAATATTTAATATTTCAATACACATCCAAAGTTAAAGCTAAAATATATAGCCTTGTGGTTACTGCATTTTACACTTGAGCCCAAATGAATGACTTTAATATGAAAAGTACAAGTGAAGTTTAATTTAAATCTATAAATCATTTGCATAAGCAACTGAAGCATTTTTGTATGTACATTTTGCCATTATTGTTGTTAAATGGTTTATAAATTTTAATGCCTCCAAATGAAACTGCTGTCTTTTAGTTGTTTTAGAGAACTACTTTTGACGCAAATCAGCATGGCTGAGGCCAATCTCCAGAAGAGCAACTCTTGCACTCTCCCATTTTTGACTGACATAATGTGAACAATTGAAGTAATTACTAGGTCTGCTGCTAAGAAAGTTAGTTCATTGTGTTGTGCCAGATGATTTTTCTCATCAGAATCAATCTTACATGTTTATAAGTCTTCCATTCATCCCTGCATTGAATATTGCTGCCATTTCTGGTCTGGTGTTCCTGCTATATATCTTAAGGTTTTTAACAAAATCCAAAGAATCTGCAATGTTATTGGTCCTAGCATCTAGACTTCAGTCACTTTCCCACCACCTTAACATAGCTTCCTTATGCCTTTTCTATAAGTATTTTCATGACAATTATTTTAATGAGATTCCCTTTGGCATTTTACTGTTGAAATAGCTACATGTAACCATAAGTTCTATTCTAAGAGTTTGTTCTCTTGCACTTCTCGCTCTCGTTTGGGTTCCTGCTTTCTTGAAAACTATGATCTTCAAAATTTTAAATATAATGACAATTGCTAACTTCTGACATTTTGAAACATGTTCTTTTATTGTTCTTTCTCCTCACTAACATTTTTTTTCACTCTTAGTCTTGGTAACTTCTTGATGGCTTTATTGTTTTGCTTAGGATGAAGTTATTTTAAGAAAAAGTGATATTCTTGATGGAGTCCTTATTTTAATTTTGTCCTTATCCATAGTAAAGATATTAATAATTATCAAGGTGTTTAATAAGATAAAAACTGTATCAGAAAGATTTCATGCTTTTATATTGTGTGTACGTGTACAAACACACACAGACACTTTATGAAAATGATTACTTGAACAAGCATGATTCATGTATGTTTTTAGAAACACAAGAGCATGACCTTTAACCCACGTTCTTCCTGCAGCTGCTATTGACACCATTAGATTTTGTTGATTCTCCATTGCATTGCAGGAGTACCAGGTGCAAATAGATGTGCACTCTGTTCCAATGTTGGGACCTTTTGATATCAATTGTAGGTCAGTCATATATGTCAATGTTGAAATGAGAATAAAACCCTGCAATCTGACTTCAACAGAATAAATTAGATGTAAAGCCATTATTTTTATACCACCCCATATACCTCACAAAACACACACACACACATATATTACATTAAATGTTATTTTTAGTGGGTACCCATATTTGAGTAGACACACCATTTTTTAAAGTGTTTATTTTGTCTACCATCCTGAATACTTGAGAAAATTTAATAAAGAAAAAGTACCATTCATCAGGATACTAACTTGTGTCCCCCTTTGTAGGAGAAACCACAGTCCAGCAAAGTTCTATTTATATTTAAAGCACATTTACTCTTTCAGATTTTCTCCAAAGCCATATCGGCTCAGTTTCATGTCTGAAATCTAAACAAAGCAATTTCTAAAGAATTAATGGATTTTATTTTTTAATCCAACATGTTTTTATTACTTCAAATGTTATCTTTTTCTTTCTTAAGCTTTTTTGAGTGTGCAGACTACCAGATGAAATAAACAGAATGTCTACTCAAATATGAGTATCTATGTTATATAGGAATAGTGTTGCTGCTGACACTTGAGTTTGAACATAGATCGCCAGTGAGCAAACACGGGCAATCCCATTATTGAATTAAGTAGACAATGTGACCATAGAAGAAATGCATATATGTAGTAAGTAGCTGATGTCTAAATGATCTGCATTTCTAGTTTATCCTTTATTACTATATGGACAGCTATTCTCTACTCTATTCACTATACTATTTTTCTATTTGGATCACTATATGGATTACTATTCAAGCAAGTATTATCAGTGCAAGTGATATTCAAAGGCGTCTGACACCAGTATTGTTCAACGGTGTACTATAGTTGTATCTATGATTATAAAGTCTCTGCTACAACAAGCATTACAAAAGTGACAATGAGTATTCGTTGGCATCACGAAAGTAGCTATGAGTATTCATTGACACCACAAAAATCTACTAAAAATAACATTTGAATATATATCAAGGAATTTGGTCATGAAATCTTTTTTAAAGATTACTTCTCTTTAGAATGAGCTTACCATTTTTTAAAATTTCCATTCAAAAGTCTGTACTGCATTTAGCTTGTATATGCTGATGTAATTCCCCAAATTTTTGTTAGTACCACATGTGTATATTCCCTTACTTTTTTTTTTTTTTTTTTTTTTTAAACATATTTGTTAAAACTTTATCATTTTTCAAGAAACTGCAAATATGATACTGGAATATTATTCTATGTGTTATATCTCTTCAGGATATCAGCAATCATGGTTCTCTGCAATTTCCTGTCCTTTATAGTTTTTAATAAAGTTTATCTTTTTGTTATCTATCCTAAACCCTGTTCTACCATTCATTTACATAAGCTTGCTAAGTAGGCTATGCATTATTTCTTCTGTTCCGTTTGTCTTCAATATGACCTGTGAGTATCAAATTTTCCAAGCCCTCTTTCTTCATTATGTGCCCTAGAAATTTCAACTGTCTTTTTCTGATGTTAAATATAAGTGTTCTTTTTGCTTCCATTTTCTTTAAAACTTTGTTGTTGCTCAGATGTTCAGTTCATGGTATTCTCAGTATCCTTCTGTAGAACCACGGGCTTATGTCCATATTACATTGAAACACCGGTTCTCATCTGATCACTAAATTTAAGCAATGTTGAACCTGGTCTGTACCTAGATGGGTAATTGCTCAGGAATATCAGGTGCTGTAAGCTTGGATGTGCAGGTGGTGTAATGGATAATGGCTTGGAATGAGAAATCAGAGAACTGAGTTTGAATTCCAGTTGGGTTCATTATGTTTACTTGCAAATACCCTTGGGTTAAGATATGAATCCACCTCTTCTGCCAGCTATGCATTAAATAGTAAGATTGTTATCAGAAAATTATTATCTCCAAAACATTTTTACAATCTAAAAATGTGTTTTGGCTTTAAACAACCTTAAAAAGGTTGATAAACTAAAAAAAAAAAAAAAACAATTAATGAATCATCTCTGTTGCCTCAAGTTTCTTCAGCTGTGAGGAGATTGTCCAGCATTCACTGCCATATAGGAGGACTGATATTACATAACAATCCAGTACTCTTTTCTTTGTTGCTAATGAAATTTTTCTGTTTCTTAATACTTTGCTTAGCTTTTGGAAGGCATTTTTCATTTTTGTTTTATTTTAAAACATATTTGGTAAATATTTATCAATTTTTTTTCAGAAAACTGCAAGCATGATATTGGAATATTATTACTTGAGCAATAATATTGCAAAGCTATTATTTATATTCTAATCCTTTTATGTAATTGCTTTGAGTTCTTCCTAGTTTGACTTGAGCTATATCTTCTCTCTAGGAGATAATTAAAAAAAAAAAAAAAACTTGATTATTAAATGAAATTTATTTTAATAACCTGTTTTTTCTTTTTTTTGACCATTATATAGATGCTCTTCAAAAATAGTTTGATAAATCATAACCTGTCTTAGTGTCTGAATTGTCTTGCTACTTAAAAGATTCCACTTTTTCATTCCTGTTCAGAATTTCTCTCTTTTTCCTTTATTTTAATTCCCACTTCAGTTGTAAGTAATCGAGTGCAAAATTCAGCAATCATTTTTTTCTTCCTTTAGGTAAGCATAATCATTCTTATGTAAATTATAGCTCTCTTTTAAAAACAGCTTTATTCAAAAATCTGATTCAAGAGCAGATGACATTTATTTAACCGCGCTAAACAAAGTATATAAGAGTGGAACACATTTATCTTTGTAAGTTAACTTATCTTGACATAAGAATAAATTTACTGATCCTTGAGTTTTGACTTCGTACCAGTTTTTATCATTTATTTTATACTTTCTGCTTAACCCAATTGTACCTAGTATTATCTGAAGGTATTTATTCAGTTATATTACAAGTATCAAATTTTTGTAAAAAATAAACTCGGATTATTTTTTTATTATATTGCCTCAGTGCAACAAGCATAACTTCAATTTTATTCTTACTATGAAAAAGATATATATATATATATATATATATATATATATATATATATATAGAGAGAGAGAGATAGGGTGTATCAAAAATACTTTTACAAAGTTTAGGGGTGGGTTCCTATAAACATGTACAATGGCCTTTTGGACATATACTTATATGAACATTTTACCTTGTTTTAATGTGAGGAACCTGTCCCCAAAGTTTTTGATACACCCTGTGTGTGTATATATATATATATATATATATATATGGCATCCACCAGTCTCAAGAGACCATAGATCTGTACCCAAAGAGCGCAGGGCTGAGCAGAGATTTTATTTATTTATTTATTTATTTTTTTAATTATGAGAGATCAGCACATCTCCCATCTTTTATACCACAGGTGTTGTCAGAACAAGACATGACATTGGCTCTGGAATTAGATTCAGAGTTGCCCTCTTAGTCTGGTTGCCAACCATGACTGCAGAGCCAGGCTGCCCTACTATTTACCCATAGTTGGAGGTTTTGAATTCAGAGTTTTTCTTATTCATAGACCTGTTGCTACCTAGTCTGTCCTGCTATTTACCCAAATGTGAGAAAAAATAGATGGATTCATGCCTTTTCCAAGAGTATTAGCACATATGTTAATGTAATGAACTTGACTCTCCAATTCCTCAATCCAAACCACAGTCCATTACTCCAGTGTCTCCATTTTATATATATATATATATATATATATATATATATATATATATATATAATAGGTAAAAGTATAAGGAATCCAATTTTACTGTGAATGTTTTGTAATGCTTGATTCTGATAGCCTAATAATATATTTGTTGAACTTATTGATCTCTTACATCCCTACTTTCTCACTGATGTGACATGGCTTTCCTCTGTATTTTCTACAAATATTTTCATGACAACTGTTCTAATGAACTTTTTTCCTTAGTGTCTTGACTGCATCAATTTAAGTGTGCTCCTAGATTGTCAATTAAGTCTCAGCATTTTACTGCCTTCTGTTATATTCTAAGTTTCTTTCCACGCACTACTCACCTGTGGAGCTCACTTTTGATTTCTTGCTTCCCTGCCACCTATAATCTGCAAAAATTTAAATGCAACAGCAATCACCATCTTCTGTCTCATCTCCAACATCTTCTCATTCTCTTTCACTCCCTGAAGTCCTGTGCATCCTAGCGGCATTATCATTTTAATTTGAATTAATAACAATTATTAGAATTATATAATGAAATATAAAACTTTAAAGAGTAAAAATAAATGTTTTCTTCATTAAAGTATTTGATATATTGATATTTAAAAACAATTAAATTTTTACTCTGAGAATGGATCAATAAGCCTGCAGTGTGGTACCTAATCATTAGCTGAATTTTTGATTTTTAAATTTTCACTGTATAATGTCCTATCTATGGGATTGATATTCACCATTGAATTAAGTGCGTTGACAAGAGAGATTATATTGAAAATAGATATTTATTGTATAAAATAAATACTTTTTCTTTATTTCATTAGGCTGTATACTTAGTGATTTACCTACATAAATACATGTTTAAAATTAAATGTTATTAATTTTGTATAGATAATTACTATAACTAAAATGCAAATATATTTTTGCTTATTCTTTGAATCAATTAATCTGTGTAGTAAAAGGAACAGCCCAACATGTGAATTACAAATTGGAGACACCAAAATCAAGTACAAAATTTTAAAATAGAGGATGAAAAATGTGACACTGAAATCCGAAGGCACATTTGGATCATGAATGATGCCTTCCAAAAGCTAAGCAAAAGTATCAAGAAGCTGAAAAATTTCATTAGAAACAAAGAAAAGATTAGTGAACTGTTACATAATATTGGACCTCCTATATGGCAGTGAATACTCCTCACAGATGAAGAGACTTGAGACATCAGAAATATGGTTTTACAGAAAGGATTCTGAAAATACCATTGAGCAGCATGTGAACAATGATGAACACTTACATGAACCTTCAGAAGGAGATAGATGAAATTTCTAAGGCACATAATATGGAAAGTGGACTTTGGAAAATTTGACAGGACATATTGAAGGCAAGAGAGACAGGAAAGCAGGGAATGGCAGAACATGGATTAGGAGAGATAGTAAAAAGACAAAATTTACTTAGTACTACAGGGAATTGTGGAGAGCCATGATCATCCACATCCTGGTGGGGCATGGCACAGAGGAAAAATCTGTGCATGTTCATTACCATATTTAATGTCATATAAGCACCTCCCCATGCTTTTCTTTTCACACAAAAATGGATGTTACATATGCAGAGTTTAGATATCTGGTAGATTAATGTTTACCTTGGGCCCCAGATGTTGTTGACTATCAGTATTTGTATCTAGAATCACTCCATAATACTGTGATATGACACTCATTTTGGACTTAGCACCTATTTGATATGCAATCAAATAGGTAATAAGTCCAAAGTGAGTTTAAATAGTCTACTCTGTCTTCTTTATCATCATAGCTGACATATCTACTCTTGCATTATGCTTATGATGCAAAAAATAATCCTTCAGAATATTATTTGATGGATCAGCTGTTAGTAAGTTCCTTGTTAAAGAAAAAAAATCTAGCAATATTTAGTTGAAGAAGTAACAATCTTGAACTTTTAAGAGAAAATGACATAAGCTCAGCTGCAATTCTGTAGCCAGTAGTCTTATAGTACCATATGTTTTCACTTGTTCTAAAGCTAATGTTTAAAGGCAAAGAAATATTTTTTTGTAAACCAAATGAATAAATATTTCTATTTCATCATCACCAGTCCCATTACTGGGTGTGGTTATAGGATAGCTGAGCACCTCATCAACTCCCTCCACATGTCTTGGGTGTGTGCCAGAGTCTGGGTCTGTGTGAAGGATTTTCCTGTAACAATCCCAAGTAGCATCCAATCTGATATGAAAATCAGAAGTATTCATTCTTGTATAGCACGTGTTGGGTAAATGCAGCTGGTAGAATCCATCCCTCTCCAGGTCAGAGCACAATTAATGTCCTTTCACTTAAAGGCTCAGCTTGATCATGGATACATGTCCAGTGATTGCATTGATGGGGAGACTCCACCCTAGCCATTGATGTCAATATATGAAGCCTTCTACCTAGCAATGCCATGTCATTATTGCTCTGTAATCGTTCAGCCCTAGATTTAGTTTGCAGCTGGTTGAAACTCACTAGTTACTGTCTCTTGGTTGAACTTCCCACTGGTGAGAGCCTCAGAAGCACTGAATGTTGCTTGCATAATTCTATGCCAGAGGTGGTAAACTAAGTGTGTGTGTAGGTATATTTTATATATGTGTGTGTGTGTGTGGATGTGTTTATGCCGTGGTGCCATATTTAATGCTGCAGTGTCCTTAAAAAAAAAAACAAGACACGTCCACTCCACGGCAATTTTTGCCTTCAGCTTCAAAAAAGAAAAAAAAATTAATTTTTTTACTTTTTAAAAACTAACAATATTAGGTTTTTCTTAATAAGTTGGTCATGAGGATTTTCCAAGGAGAAAATTTGACTAAATCCCTATGCAGATATATTTTCAAAGAAACAGGGAGATGAAAGTAATTTCAGCAAATGTTACAAATTTATTTCCATCTTGCAACATTTATGTCTACTGGGAAATGAAATGAACATCATATGTACACACATATACATTTCATTTTAAAAACAGCACTACTTAAATAGACTGGTCTCCTCAACAACAACAACAACAACAAAAAAAGAAGAAAACTCCATG